AAGGATTGTGCTTGAACCTCTTTGGAGATGCTATTCTTCACTGTGCTGTAACAAAATGGGGAAGGCTCCTGAAATTACTAACTGCTGTCTGGCACCTGTGGCTGGCTCATCTGACTCATTCAGAGCCTTCTCTGAACAACTGTCCTGTCAAAAGCAAAATATACATAACTGCCATTCATCTTGCTAAGTTATACAGGAGAGTGTCTTGCCATAAAGCTTTCAGATGTTGGTAGAAGCAGATGTAGGCAGAAAGAGGAACATTCTGTCAACTAACATGCAATCTAGGACAGATGATTTCTGACTGATAATTCTCCCTTCAAGTAGCCTCAAGACAACTGACTTCTCAGTTGAAATCATGTTTGCATTCTTGTCGCTCAGAGCAAATGACACTGGTCTTTGAAAAATACAATATTTTTCTGCTTATTTTCTCCCTAGGGCTAGGGTGCAGGAAATGTCTCTTCACATCTTCTTCCATCTTGGCTCCAAGAATCTTTTCATCCTTTGAGAGGAAAGATGGGATATAAATATAAAAATGGAGCAAATGAATAAATAACCAATTCTTCTGAATTTTTGCACTTTCAGATGCAGAGCTGATTTTAAATGACGGGTGTTAGGTTGGCTGAAGGTTCATGGGCTGATGTTTTTGAGCCGTTAAATTGCCTTTGGACTGACTAACACATTCAAGAGAGGAGGGTCAGTTACAATAAAGGGTCTACTTCAAAGCCCACCAAGAACTTGGTGAAATTAATGATTTCATCCCAGCACCATGCTTTTTAAGTCTAGCTCACTCACTGTATTCTCGAGAGGATGAAACCGTCATTACCTGAAGTCACATCCACACAATACATTTAAAGCACTTTTATACCACTTTAATACACATCCCAAAGAATTCTCAGAACTGTGCTCCTCGCAGAGCTATGATTCCCAGCACCCTTTACAAAATACAGGTTCGCCAAAGAACTACAGGTGAGGCACTCAAACTATATCTTTGTTCTTCCAGTGTGTGGCAATTATTCTCTCCGTGTTGTTTCTTCCTGTCTTTATAAAATGTTATGTCTATCTTTTCCCAGTTGTTGCTGTTCTCCAGGCATAGGCAAACTCGGCCCTTCAGATGTTTTGAGACTACAATTCTACATCCCTGACTGCTGGTCCTGTTAGCTAGGGATGATGGGAGTTGTAGTCCCAAAACATCTGGAGGGCCAAGTTTCCCTATGCCTGCTGTTCTCCATCATGCCTTGGGTGGAGCTAATATCCCATTGTTGTTTCAGAAATTTCTCCATCGCTCTGTCCAAAATAAAATAACTATTCATAAAAGATTCATAACCTGGCAGGGATATGTCAGTAACTGTTGGTACATAAAGAGAAGCATATTCTGCCAGGCATAACCTTGCTATAAAATAATGGGGTGGGCCTGTTTAAAGACACACTGTAGAGCCCAGTTGGATGGATGTGTCTAAAATAGGATGGGTAAAAATTAAGCAGGCAGAACTTGCTCATTTCAGGGGGGAAGACGACAGTGTAAGAATTGCAACAAGATCACTGCACCTTTAGTTTAATTCAGTATTTCAGCCAGCCAGCTAATTCATCCCATTAAAGTTTTCAGTTTTTCTTTTCTAGCTGACATTCAACATTCTGTGACTACCGAGCATCATTGGAATAAGCTTTATGGCTCTTTAGTCATACTTGGGTTCCTTCTTCTTCTTCTTCTTCTCCTCCTCCTCCTCCTCCTCCTCCTCCTCCTCCTCCTCCTCCTCCTCTTCTTCTTCTCTTGGAGTTCTACTCAAGATTATGAGATTTCCCTCTTTTTTCCTCTGGGACTCTGCTTTGGTTCCAGTCCCAAACTTCTCACTATTAGAGGGAGTGATGCTTGGCGCACCCCAGAGAATGGCCATTGTTAAGTGGTGTAAGCATTACTGTTTAAAGCACAAAACACTAGGAGGTTCTCCTGAGAAGTGCTATTGAAATACACAAGAATGGCACAAAGCCACAATTTCAATGCGAGCACAATTTCAATGAGATTTTGCAAAGTGCAATATCCAGGTTGAGGCTGGAAGCTGATTTTTTGCTTTGATCTTACCCCTGTTCAGTGAGACTTACTTCCAGGTAATAATCACACAGAGGATCAGGGTACAAAAACTGTCCCATTGGATTTAGTGGAGTTGCTTTCTCCCAAGTACATGCAGAATTGCAGAATTACAGCACTAGTCTCTGTGAGGTCCAAATCCGACTAACATTTCTATAGCTGTAATTATCTGGTAACAGTCTGTGTGACTGTCAGTATATAACTGACATGTTAGCACCAACGTCCTCCAGGGGATATTTTACAAAGAAAGGGTGAGATGTCAGTTTGAAAGCCTGGTAAAATATGGTTGAAAAACTATGCTTGTCTGGTAGGAACTAAACAGTTTCTGTTTCATGTGTGCAAAATGATTCCTGCAGGGAAGATCACACCGGCCGCAAATGGATATAAATGCCAGATTTCAGTTTTGGTTTCTTTCAGTTTTTCATTTTCCCAATCTTAATTCAGTTCTCAACATTTCCACATCAGCTTGTGAATTGTGTTTTGAAGTCCTCATGAAAATTCATTTGCCTTTCAGTGCAAATTTCTCCTAAGGTACACATTATTGCAATTTTGCGTAATATACACATTTTTGCAAAGCAATTCCCACTAATAGAATGCATCGTTGCACTTTATTTTAACTAATATATGCATTCTCATACACATTTACCCTAGTAATTGCATTTTGTACACATTGCTTGGCTGGAGGAAAAACACCGCAAAATTCAGAGAAGTGTGAATTTTGATGGTGGCTGTGTTTTGATTTGTGTGAATTAGGCAGATGTAGTTTTGAATTGAACTGAATCCCTCCTCCATCCCTACTTATAAATCATCCCTTAAAGAACTCATGTGCACCCTCTACCTTTTCCATCCACTCCCCTTGTGTGTTTATGTAGGTCTGCTAATACAGCATTTCCCTCTCCTTTAATTTATGTGAGCTGCTCTGGGAGCTTATGATGGCCTGAAAAGTGGAGGAAAAATTACAGCAAATATATAAATGTTGATGGCTTCAAGGCTCCTGCTCTCCCTCCATATGGCTCTATATATTTAAAATAGGACTTTGACTGGGCATCTCTTCAAATAGAGGATTCCTTCAAATGAAAGCCTGTCCTCTATATGGGGCTATAGCTAGATTTAGTCCCACTCTGAGAAAACCCATGGACATGATGAAATTAGATTTATTGATTTCACTGAGACTCCTCTGAGTATAACTTAGCTGCATATAACCGCTGGCTGTCTTAACTGCCACTCATATTTTTCCATCTAATTATCTCTGATAATGATGCTGTATCACCAAGGCCTGTAGTATCCAGGGGAAGTTGTAGCATTTAACTTCTTCCCTACAGCTATGCTGAGGAAAATAACTCCTATGGAGCTGGTATTTGATTTTTTTATTATTAAATTGTTATTGGAATTTTATTTACAACATAACATAGATACACAATCCACCCTCATTAAACATGAACATAACATACAGTGAGCATAACATACAACAATACAAACAATGAAATAAATGACTTCTTTTATCCTGTATCTGGCCTCCTTATTTACTTCTTATAAACTGTTTCCTTTATGAATAGTTATTAAGATTTTTCTAATTATAACTTAAATATCCACAAAGTCTCCTGCATGGAGCTGGTGTTTGAATGGTGAGAATCCTTCATGGCCCCGCAAAGGCAGGATCCTTCCCTTTGAGGACTGGCTCCAATGTGAAATGCACTCTGATCACCAGAGCTTCAGACTCTATGTACACCATACATTTAATCACATAACTTCCCCCCAAAGAATCCCAGAAACTGTAGTTCACGAAGGGTGCTGGGAATTGTAGCTCTGTGAGGAGTAAATTCCCACGATTCTTGGTGGGAAGTGGTGTGCTTGAAATATGCTTTCAACATGTGATGTAGTGTACTTGGCTACTACCTCATGTATTTGAGGAAAAGTCAATTGTTTGGGCTGTTCTGGAAAGAAATAGTTATAAGAACAAGAAAGCCTGGCTTACATGTGGTCTCAATTTCGCACCCCCCCTTTTGCTGCCCCAATTTTTTCCTCCTTTTTTTGTGTGTGTATGTGCGTTGGATAACCTCAACACTGCCCTTTGCAAAAAAAGGTCATCAGATAAACACCAACACTAGGCTTTTCTCACAAACCCAACACCAACACTTGCCTTAGGGTACTTTAATATAGCATGGGAAGTTAAATTAGAAGCATATATTTGATAATAGCACCTTGATGTGGGAGCCTTCAAAAGGGTTCTGCCCTCATCGAGGGATTAAGGGCCTAGTTTAGCAATCAACAAAAGCCTCTGTGGAAGAGTGAGACTAAAACCAGCATTTTCCTCTCCTCAAAGATTTTTTTTTTTTAATGCTCCCCAAATTCTCCTCAGTGATTTCCTCTGTGAGTTTGTTGGGGAATATACGCTGAATATTTAATGAAAAAATTAGCTGCGAAGATCAGACTGCAAGGTTTTCTATGAACAAGAGGCTTCTGTCTGTGCTGACTCCTGGATACTGTAGTAATACTTTTCTGCTGATGTATTCCCCAATGTGCCTTTTAATATTTCTCTGCTTTTGTTTTTACTGCTCTTAAAAGCTGCCTTGGAAAATTCCCATGAAAAGCAGGGGAAAAGCAGGGGGGGGAGTAAAAATGTTGGACAACAATGGTACTTCCCATATCTGACATGGGCATAACCCCGTTTCTCAATTTTCTTTCCCTTTGGCTAACCAATGTTGTGTGTCCACAAGACCAAGTAGAATAGAAATGGTTTGAGGAGGCAATGGAAGCTCAGCCACTCTGGGCAGCTTCCAACATATATAAAAACACAATAAAACATTTTTAAAAACTTCCCTATACAGGGCACAAACTTCCCTATACAGGGCTGCCTTCAGAGGTCTTCTAAAGGTTCTTTAGTTGCTTACCTCCTTGGCTTGGTGGTTGCATAACTCCATACCCTCCAACATTTCTCCGATGAAAACAGGGACATCCTAAGGGAAAGCAGGATATTCCAGGATCAAATCAGAAACTGGGACGGCTTCTCTAAATCTGGGACTGTCTCTGGAAAGTAGGGACACTTGGAGGGTCTGGTATCTTCCTGGACTGTGATGGGAAGCAAATTCCATAACTGAGACACCATTACTTAGAAAGCCCTATCTCCCATTCCCACACAATGAGCAACACTTGTGAAGGGGGATGGACAAAAAAAGCTTCATGCTGATGGTCATCAACTGAAGGAAAGAGACCAGTCTTTGTGACCTCATGCTGCTACTGCCAGCCTGAAAGAAGGAGGTTGGCCATTGTGACCTCATGCTAATGCTGCCCACTTGAAGGAGGGAGACCAGCTATTGTGACCCCACTCTGATGTTGCCAGGATAAAGGAGAGCAAGCAGCCATTGTGACATATGCTGATGATGGCTGCCTGAAGGGGAGAGCAACTGATAACTGTGACCTCATGGTGATCCTGCCTGCTTGACTAACTCATGTCTCATATTGCTGATGTTGTCCTCTCCGCCCAAAGTCACTTTAATGTATTGCCAACCACTTTTTATAAGGAAGGCACTCTTTGCATCCTGGAGCAAACAGGGGGTGATTAACCTCCTAGCTAACCTTCCCATCCTCTGAAACGCAAGTGTCACATCTCATCTGGCAGGCAGGTAAGGCCACACCATCCATCAAGGCTTTCCAGAGGATGAGATGACTGACCTCTAACATAAGGTTACCAGATTTTTTTCAAAGAATCGGGGGACACTTTTCTTTTTTAAGAGAAAAAAAAGTTATTTAAAAAAGGTTTTTTTATATAAAAAAAGTAATATCTTCCCTTCTGTAGTCTCCTCTGGAGCGCTAGCCACCGTGGAGTGGGCTCGGCTTGGGTCTGGGCTTGGCTACGTGTCCTTGCCCTCCTGTTGCTCTCCTACTTCTCCTCCTCTGCGGCGGTGGCAGCGGCGCAGCAAGGTCGGCACTCCCCTCTTTTTTCTCCTTCCTCTTTCTCTCTCTTCCTTCTCCTCTCCTTCTCCCTGCGTCGGCTCCAGGGTTTTCCTGGCCCCGGACTGCCACTGGGCAGTCGGCCGGGTGGCCAGGCACTCTCACTTCTGGCTTGATTTGGGTTGCAGGAGGTGGTGGTCAGCGATTCCCCCAGTTGATGCGCTGGGTGTCCCTGGTTCCCCCTTGGCAGTGTCAGTGGCAGCCTCAGCAGCCTGGAGCCAGCATGGTAGCACAGTTGGCTCTGGCTGGCTTCAGGAGCTGCTTGCTGCCATGGTGCCCACTATTTTGCCTCGCCGGAAGTCCCCATATGATGTGTCTTGTGCCGTTGAACCAATCACACGACATTCATTCCCTACTAATAAATCTACAACACTTAAAATATAAATCCGGAGACATTAAATGAAATCCGGGTACATTCCAGGGACAGATTATGTCCAGGGACAGGTTTGTAAATCCGGGGACTGTCCCCGGGAAACGGGGACTTCTGGTAACCATACTCTAACATCCGCTGGCTGCCAACGAAAGCATCTTTCTGCATTATGTCCACCTCTGTCTGCTGCCAGTCATTTCTCTAGTAAGCTGGGAGGCAGTGAAGAGTCAGAAGGCATCACCCAACATTTGGAAATGAGAAAGCTCCCCAGAGAGGCAGCCAAGAATACTTTCCATAAAGAAGAATCAATAAGCAAAACTAAGTAACAACCACCTCGCGGCAAACTAACATCCATACAATAATGAAAATGTTACCTGCAGCACTCCAAGAAACCAGAACTCATCCTCTAGACTTTATGATTGGGAGCGATCCAGGTTTAAGCATACAGATCAGATGTCACCATGTCTCACTTGATCACCTTAAACTTAATCAAAACAACAATTAGAATTGTGAACAGAAGCTGCATTGTATTTTTACGTGCCACAAAATTAGTCCAGGGAATTTCGTGCATAGGTCTTGACAGCAGAAGCCCTGCACAAGGACTTCTGCTCGCACAAGAGGGTTTTCCCCCATCCTGTGCCTTATGCACCCCCTTAAAACAGCAGATGGGGAGAAGAGTGGTGGAACTATTAGAAGAGTGCAGTGTTGGATTCCTCCCACTATATATATAGATAAAAGTGGTACAGTATTAACAACGAAACATCACCGGCAACAAAAGAATTCAAAACCAAATTCAGGAGTTTCATCTTCAATGTCTGAGAAATTTCAAGGGAATCCAAAAAGGTTTTGATGTGATCCACAAAGTGTCTAGGTGCTTAAAAAAAACCCCATAGTTTAAATTTTTCAGTGTTTTCAGAGCAAATGTATGTAGATTTTATCAACACTGAGTGCCCCTTGAACATTGCTTTGAAGTTGCCACCTTACTGCTGGAAACCTGCAGCATGATAGATGTCTTTGAACTACAGTTTCCATCATCCCTGACCATCGACCACACTAACTGGAGCTGTAAAACACCTTTCCTCCTGAATGAATTGCAGGCATTACATTTTCTGGAAGCACTGACTTTTGTAGGCTTGGTTTGATTGATACCATGTATTAAATTATTCAAGTTTTCACCCCACCCTCAAAATACAACACAACACTTTAAAAATGGATACAGCCCATTTTCCCGCAAGGGTCTGCCATCACACTCCCCCACATCATTCTGCTGCATAGATATATCTCGGCTTGTTCAGTTGGCTTAGATCCCCTTAGAATCTTGTTCTACTCTTTGCAAGACAATAAACAGGCTACGTACTTAACAGGAAGGTCATTGTCCAAGGATGGATCCTTATGTAGCGAAAACAGAACCATCCATGAACAAGAGGGAGGTAACAGCAGGATTGGGGCAACCCCAAAGTTTGCAGAAGTGCAAACTTGGAGGGAGGGGACCCAAGGGAGGGAACCCCCAGAATGGCTCACTGTTCAGGGGTCATGAAAAGCTAACCGCTTTTTTAATGTATCAGATTTTTTACTTTACAGCAGATGAAACATAATTATGAATGTCAGCCATTGGTTAGTGGTCATTATTTCTCTTGATTCCACCAAATAGTAAATATAGCATGCAATGAATTGTGCATTTATTTATTTTTACAGTTTTTAGAGGGGCTACCTTTCACCTCATTTTATTAATAACTTAGAGGGGAGGTGGGGGGGGAAGGAAACAGCAATAAATGTACATTCTCTCCCAAGTATCCATGCAAAGAGAAAGAAATCACTTCCAGATGCCTCCATGGGGCATAGTAGCTTAACAGTTCTTTAGGTGTCACTTAAAAGTTTTTATCACTTGCCAGAGGGTATGCTGCAAAATTCCTAAAAGGCAATTATAGCAGTAAGATATGTAATAAATGTCTCTTGGGTGTATAAAGATGGTGTGAGAAACAAGCGTCCAGAAAATCAAAGGACTGCACCTTTTAAACACCGCTCTGCAACTTCCTCATCTTAACTGCATGCACTTTGGGAGATATACATGTGACTCCTCTTTTATTTAGCATTTTGCTTGTTTGGAATTATTCTAACCCATCTTCTCTCCCCTTTCTGCTTAGCAGTTTTAAAACTCATGTAAAATACTGGCCAGGAAGGTAAAGGTAAAGGACCCCTGGACGGTTAAGTCCAGTCAAAGGCGACTGTCGCTTTCAGGCTGAGGGAGCTGCCGTTTGTCCACAGACAGCTTTCTGGAGCATGTGGCCAGCATGACTAAACAGCTTCTGGCGCAATGGAACACAGTGAAAGAAACCAGAGTGCACAGAAATGGCATTTACCTTTCCTCCGCAGCAGTACCTATTTATCTACTCACACTGGCATACTTTCAAATTGCTAGGTTGGCAGGAGCTGGGACAGAGCAACAGGAGGTCAACCCTGTCATGGGGATTCAAACCACCAACCTTCTGATTGGCAAGCCCAAGAGGATCTGTGGTTTAGACCACAGCGCCACTCGTGTCCCTAGGCTGGGTTAACTTCCACTATCTATACTTGGTTACAATGAGCTAGTTCCATAAGTGGTGATGGCAAATAGCATGTACAGCACTATGTGAGGGTTTGGTGGAGCTACAGCATATGGCTGTTGCTGGGCCTTAGGAGAGAGTGTTTGAAATTCATTATAAACAGAGGTCCATATGTATGCTTGTCCATGACAGAAACCAGAGTGCACAGAAACGCCATTTACCTTCCCGCCACAGCGATACCTATTTATCTACTTGCACTGGTGTGCTTTTGAACTGCTAGGTTGGCAGGAGCAGGGACTGAACAATGGGAGCTTACCCCATCACAGGGATTCGAACCACTGACCTTCTGATCAGGAAACTCAAGAGGCTTAGTGGTTTAGACCACAACGCCACCCACTAACTCTGTATTTGGCAGTGTGGCGTTTGTACGGAGCCCCCGGTCGTCTCACGTACTATTGACCCATACACTACTAATCCGCTGCCACCAACCAGGTCCTCCCCGGTAAATCACTTAGTCTCAGTCAGGTTCTTAAGTTAACAAAGAAGAGTGTAGTTTATTGCAAACACAAATAAACTTTAACTGCATTCAAACGTTGTTACTCTTTACCTTCTTAGTCTTATTTTTATCCTGTCTCTAACTCTTCTACCTCCCCTCACACAAGAACCAACTGCACTAACTGTCTCTTTATTTTCAACTGTCTGTCAGCTGCTTTCCCAACTGCCTTAACCAACCAACCAACCAACCAACCAACCAACCAACCAACTAACCAAACCTCAGGCTAACCCCTCTTATAAACAGATAGGCTCCGCCTCTGGCTTTCCTATTGCTCTACCTATTAACTCTTTCTCTCCCCCTGTACAGACATTTTCAAAAGAACGGGCAAACGCCACAGGCAGCTTCGTATTTTGCTATGTTCCTACATAGAACTGTAAGTAAGGTAAAGGTACCCCTGCCCGTACGGGCCAGTCGTGTCCGACTCTAGGGTTGTGTGCTCATCTCACTCTAGAGGCCGGGAGCCAGCACTGTCCGCAGACACTTCCGGGTCACGTGGCCAGTGTGACGAAGCTGCTCTGGCAAACTTGGACCAGAGCAGCACGCAGAAACGCCGTTTACCTTCCCGCTATAAAGCGGTACCTATTTATCTACTTGCACTTAAGGGTGCTTTCGAACTGCTAGGTGGGCAGGAGCTGGGACCGAACGACGGGAGCTCACCCTGCCGTGGGGATTCGAACCGCCGACCATGCAATCGGCAAGCCCTAGACGCTGAGGTTTTATCCACAGCGCCACCCGCGTCCCTACATAGAACTGTAGCTGTGCGAAATTGTTTTATGGACAGGAATGGCTGTGTGATATAAGACATCATGATATGACACAGGGGCACGAGGGGCATGAATATCAAAGGAATTACTTCATGTACTCTCTCTGCTCCAAAAAGACTCAAACCACAAAAGGTGGAGAGTGGGGAGGAAAAACCCAGATATAACATTGCAGTCGTATCCATACATGTTTGGGATGGTTGTGTAAGCCCCACTGAAAACATTTAGGTTTTGCTTTGGGTAAACACATAGGATTTTGCTCCAAGTATTTGAGTATGGCATAACACTAGAATATCTAAATGTTTATGATATATAGAAGGACTTTAAGGCACACAATTTTAAAAGAACGACTACCATTCAAAGTCATTGATATGAAATGCCACAGATTATTTGATTCCATCCAAGTAACAATTCCACAACAGTTCCACAAACTTCAAAGAAACCAAAGAACTCAAAGAATCTAGTCCTTCAAAATCTTCATCAGGAAGTTATGTGGGCTGCTGCAATTTTGCTGCTGCTTCTGCTTCCTTTATCAGTTGCCATATACCAGAAAGATCTCATGGGAACTAACAAATGTAAAGAAATAAAATTTAAAAGCTAACATAAAATAAATGTAATAATTCCCAGCAATTACCCTGCCTTCCCTAAGTTCTTCAGTATGGTCACCATCAAAACAACAAACCACCACTACTACCAACAACAACAACTACCAAGCAACAGAAGAGAGAGCTAATAATAAAATGATGTCTTGGGAAATATTGGGTTTGGCACTGAAAATATCGTATTGTCAGTGCTAAGCAGTCCTCCCTGGGGAGAATATTCTATAGCTAAGGATCCATTACTGAGAAGACCCTGTCACTTACAGCAAACCTTTGCACTTCTGCTGGAGGGGGCACTCAGAGGAGGACCTCTGACAATGGCCTAAGGTTCTGGGCAGCTTCATATGAGACACTCCACAAGGTACCGAGGTCTCCAGCCATGTAAGGCTTTACGGGTCAAAACCATCCCTTTGAATCACACCTGCAAACCTATTGGAAGCCAACGCAGCCAGATCAGAATTGATGTTTTATATTTTCATACCACCTGGTCCATGTTAGGAGTCTGGTCCCTGAATTCTGTACCAGCTGTGGTTTCTGGACAGGCTTCAAAGGCAGCCCCATGTATAGCTCATTGCAGTAATCTAATTTGGTGTGCGGGGGAGCAAGGGTTAACTTCTCTTTCCTCAAGTATGCAGCAGCTGCAATCCAAATGGCTAACCCTACGGAGTAGTAGTAAAAGATGTTGGGAGTAGTAAAAGATGTTGGGAGATTTGTTGAGGAAAATCTGTGATGAGATGTAGGCCCTGAGCGTGGTACATACTGTGTTCACATGCAACACTAAACCCTCTGAGGAAGACTTCCACTGAGTTTAGTTTCATTTTAAAGAAGCACTCTTTAACATGATGTTCAACCCAAGGATCCTGGTTTAAAACAAACTCTGGCCCGTTTCATAATAAGTCAGTTTCAAATCATGGGTTATGCATCTGCTTTAGTAAATTACCCATTGCTTTTAAACCAGGATTCCAGCTTTGAATAGAACATTAAGTAAAACTAAACTTGACAGAAGGTCTTCTCCTGGTGGCAAAATACCAGGAGGAGTTGTTGAGGAGCATGTGAGTCTAACTCTTCAGTTCGGCTTACTCAGAATCATCCATGATTTTAGTGTTACATGTGAACTGATCTATTGTGAGTGTGAGCAAGCATGAGGAACTCAGGAGTCAATGCATTTAAAGCCTTTGGAGTTCAAGAAGGGTTGGAATTTGCCTCTGGTATGAGGAGAACTTCCACCAGCATGCAACCCTTGAGTGCTGAATTGGGATATTGAACTTCAGAGTCTTTGGCTGTGTTGCTTGACACCCGCTAGGACAATTATTGGAGACAGGTTGGATAGAGCCCATCTTCTTGCCAAGGCACAGAATCGGGCACAGGGTGCTAGCCATGGGTCTCAGGGGATTCACCCCCCAGTCTGCTGAAATTTCAATCAATTTGGGAAGTGCAGCCATAGCCCCTGCTGCTTTAAGCATCTTTGCACCATCCGTGCTTGTTCAAAATGTAGGTAACCTGCTCATGGTCTTCCCCCACTATGGATGTTCTGTTTTTCTCTTTGAAGTATACCAATTATTCATAATTTTGCATCTGCACATATAAATTAAAGGTAAGGTAAAGGTACCCCTGCCCGTACGGGCCAGTCTTGACAGACTCTAGGGTTGTGCGCTCATCTCACTCAAGAGGCCGGGGGCCAGCGCTGTCCAGAGACACTTCCGGGTCACGTGGCCAGCGTGACATCGCTGCTCTGGCGAGCCAGAGCCGCACACGGAAACGCCGTTTACCTTCCCGCTAGTAAGCGGTCCCTATTTATCTACTTGCACCCGGGAGTGCTTTCGAACTGCTAGGTGGGCAGGCGCTGGGACCGAACAACGGGAGCTCACCCTGTCATGGGGATTCGAACCGCCGACCTTTCGATCGGCAAGCCCTAGGCGCTGAGGCTTTTACCCACAGCGCCACCCGCGTCCCACATATAAATTAGCATATGCTAATTATATGCAAATCTGTGGCTTCTTTTGACGTCTTTGTTGGTGAGGCAAATGCAGCCATCGAATGGTGCCCAGTTAGCCCTCAGCCTTTTGCTTCTTTTCAATCCTCACTCCTTATAATGAAAAGCAAGAAGCAGGACAAGGGAGAAAGCATCCTTATCTCCAGAGTTTGAAAGGAGATTATGCAAGTTCATTTATCAGCTCTGTTTTATGGGTGGGTATAATCAAGCTGAGCAAAAGCTGTTTACAGAGTGATCAGAAAGATAAATGGGTTGGTGGAAGAGCTCTTAAATACCGGGATCCATCACTGCACCACATAAAGCATGAACTGTCTTACATGAAAAAGACGAACAGAGCAAAGGTCTTAAGATGTTTCGCTCCTTGAAAGGAGCAGTAATGATTTTGGACATATTTTCCATTATGAGCTTATAATATTTAACTGTTGCTGAAAACCAAAGGTCTGTATTGCTGCATAAAACTGCTAACTGAATCAAGATGGCTCAGTTTTAATAACTACAACATTTCAACTGACTCCCCAAAGTAATCCCAGCCCGTGGGAGAGATGGGAGCATAATTTCCACCCACTGGGCAAATTTATGAATAAACAGATCAGCTTCGCAAACTCATAATAAACAAGCGAGTCTTCCTTGATGGTCGAAAGCCTTAAAAACAGAAAAATAAACTCACAGAATGATTTGAGGTTGGGGAAGAAGCAGGTTATGTCCTAATCACCAGGAGGAAATAGACTGGAGACTGGGAGCGGCCGCCGGGACCATACAGTCCTAAAGGATCTACACTGGCTCCCAGCATGTTTCTGAGCACAATTCAAAGAGTTGGTGCTGAACTTTAAAGCCTGAAGGAGTGTCTCCACACCTGTTTTTCAGCCTGGACACTGAGGTCCAGCTCCGAGGGCCTTCTGGTGATTCCCTCACTGCGAGAAGTGAAGTTACAGGGAACCAGGCAGAGGGCCTTCTCGGTGGTGGCACCCACCCTGTGGAACTCCCTCCCATCTGATGTCAAGGAGATACAACTCTACAGCCAGAGACTCCTTTAGTAGCCTAGGCAAAGTGGGCAAGTGCCTCTTTTGTGAGAGAGATTGTCTGGTTGCTCTCAGTAGCCAGATCTTCCTCAGGTCTCCATAATGCCTTCTAGAATGTTATTTAATTTTTCTGTTCACCACCATAGTTTTTTCAATGATTCTTTTTTATTAACAAACTGGCAGCTTGGAAATGCTTTTATAAATGACTAGGAAAGGGATGCGGAATCTGGGGTCTGGGGTCCCTCCACATGCAGCCCTCCAGACCTTTATCTGGCCCCTGAGACTCTCCCCTGCCACACCCCTTCTCCTTACCAGCTCCTTTAACACTCTCCTTGAATGTTTTTGCCTAGCTGGACTGTCTCCTTGAACTCTGATAATAGAAACATAGAAGCATAGAGCTGGGATCCTGAGGACCACCTAGTCCAACCCCCTGAGATGCAGAAATATGCACCTGTCCCATACAGGGATCGAACCTGCAATCTTTGTGTTATCAGCACCATGTTCCAACCAACTGAGCTACCTGTGATGCCTCTTGCTTTCCTGCATGGAAGACAGAGAGGAATGTATGTGTTTGTGTAGGGACCAGACTGTACAAAGGTATCATTTACATTCATGGTTCCCAAGTGCTTTTGCTTCTGGCCCCTGAATGGTTATCTCCCCAGAGCGAGAGATGTGAATTAAGGCTCTGCAAGCTATCAGCTCTGGAGATGTGATGCGGGAGTGGCAGGCTTTGGCTGTATCAGAGGGTTTAAGCTGTGCCTCCACCTATTCTCAATCTGTAT